TCATATTGTGATATGAAGCGACCAATAATAAAATTAACTAATATTCTACTAAAAGTTCATATCACAACAATATATAATAAATAATTTAAATAATATAAGCTTTAAATTATTATTCTTATTAAAATAATCATAATTCTTATTATTATTTAAAAAAAATAATTATATAAATTTAATATTTAAAAAGATAAATAATTATATATAAGAATTTAAATTCAGATTGATATTGATATCAAAAAAAGATTATATAAAAATTGATATTTATAAGAGAATTTAAATAATAAAAATTCCATTCTATTATTAATATTACTAATCATAAGATATTGATATTTGCAAAATTAATATTTATAAGATATAATTATAATAATTAATCAAAAAATATAAAAAATATAATAATACTTTATCTAAATAAATATAAATTTTCTGTTTAATAAAATATTTTTAAGTTAAAATAATTAATACTTAAGTAAAAATTAATTAATTAAAAAGAAATATATATAAATTTAAAAATCTATATTTTATATTTTGAATAATTTTATTTTTATTTTATAGATATTTTATTATAAGAAAAATAAGTTCAGAATCAAATTTTTATTTTTATAAAATATTAATTAAGAATACTTATAAAAATTATACTAAAATATCAAATCTAAAATTATATTAGATTATATATTAATAATTTATTAATATTTTGAATTTTGTTATATTATCAAAATTTAAATAAGTTATATATTAATAATTTATTATAATTTCAGCTTTTCATTTTGTTATCTGCTTAATCCATGAATTTTGATAAGCATTCTTAATGCTAACATAATTATTCATTAATTTCTTTTAACATAATAACAATTCTTGAAATAGATATATAAGAAATCTTCACAAATACATCCATTATACTTACATTCTTGCTAGAGAAGAATGCAAATAATAAGAACTTTATGCAAGGATTTGAAAGGATATTTAAATCACTTGAATATAAGATTGAAGGATGTTATGAGATTCTTAATGCAAGAAGCCAGCAACATACTTTGCAATGCTCTAGTGATTGATGATTGATATTTTGATTTGTAATTAAAGACTAAATTCTCTATTTATAATATATTATGTGAAATAAACTCGTGATAATATTTATGATCGGGTAGATTCCCGGAAGGGTGGAGTTACATGATCTGACATTTTTCTTTGAGTAGAATGGTCGGAAAATTTATTTTCGCCGGAACCGGTATAATAGTTTTATTGATATATTGGACATTTTCTATAATAAAAAGTTTGTTCGATATAAGCTATAATAATAGCAGATAAATGTTAATTATGATGAGACATTGTCAAATAATTTCAAAATATAATATCAAAGTAAAATAAATTTTATTGGAAATTATACATATGCATATTAACTCATTGACTTGACTATTTACTAATAGCTACCAATAATCTTGAATTTATCGTAATAATTTTTTAGCTACTAAATTACCAGAATTTCATAGAAAATACTTCGAGGAATAAAATTATGCAACGGGACCAATTATTTACTGTTTGCTAGTATGACTGATTTATATCAAAATGTTTATTAGCATTAAACAACCTTTACGTAATGATGAAGATGATGATGAAGATGATGATGAAGATGATGATGATGATGATGATGATGATGATGATGATGATGATGATGATGATGATGATGATGATGATTATTATTATTATTTATTTTTATTATTATTTTTATTATTATTATTATTATTATTATTATTACTATGATTACTATTATTATTACTATGATTACTATTATTATTATTATTATTATTATCATTATTATTATCATTATTATTATTATTATATTATTATCATCATCATTATTATTATTAACTATTTCATTATTTCATATTATCACTTTGATTGTCTATCCCATCTCGTTCTTCGTCTCGTTGATCCGCCACCGCCAGTAGCAGCTACTACATGTACATCTTCACCAGACCCACGAAAATGTTCATTAGTATTATTATTATTATTATTATTATTATTATTATTATTTGTTGGGATATAGTTTTCTTGTAATTGTTGTTTATTTAGCGTTTGTAAATCATGTGATTCCATTTGACCACCTGGCTGGCTATTATTATACAAGGATTCTCTAAATAGTGCAGGAGGCGGAGGAGATGTTGGTGTTGTGGTGGTTGTATTTGGTGTCTGAAAGGATGGTTGTTGATGTTGTGATGATGACTCATTAAGTAATTGGAGTTGTGGCTGCTGATTACTATTAGGCGATGAAGATTGTTGTTGATGATAATCATCTTGTTCATTAGTCCAGGATCGATTTTGAATAGGTGATGATTGATCTTGTTGATTATTTCCTTCCCATGACGCATCAGAAAATTTTCTCAAATCATTATTATTAGATGACAAAGCATTATATGATCTTTCATCTAATCGACCACCATTACCACTATTACCAACATCCCGATTATTTGCACTTTCAACACTCTCATAACTATCTCGTCTCATACGACGTGCAGACGGAGCATTCGGAGGACTTGATCTATCACGATCCCGTTCTCTATCACGAGATCGATTCCGTTCCCGCTTATATCTATCTCGACGGCCACCACCACCGCCTCGCGAATGATATGGCGAATGGTCATCGAAATGCGCGTTAAATGTTCTTTTTGGATTATTGGTGGATCCACTTGACGGCCCTTCTCCGATAACAATGTTAGGTTCCTCTATCGCTACTCCTCCAATTAGTTCACGTCCGCCCGTGCCTCCGACTTCGCTTGTTTTTAACCATCTTTTGTCGGTTTCGGTTAGTCGCACTAACGGAATTATTGACTCGCCTGTTTTGAAATTGTAGCATTCTTTTGGTCCGAATCCGACCCCCCATCGAACCTTATTTTTAATATGTGTGATATGTGTTATTATTGTAAGATTGTTAATATTAATTAGATATTTTTAATTTACCTCTAATTTTGTCGTTTTCAAAATATTGCCGCTCTCCATAATTGTACGCATCGCTGCACCTCGATTTCCCATTTTTACAAAAGCATTATGTTTGTCGTGATTGATCTAAATGTTTTTAAGAAAAGTAAATTTTAGCAATGTTGTAAATTTATTAAAGAAACAATATATTTTTTTAATAATACAAACCGTAACGCTTGATACTCTGCCATAAGCCAAGAAAATTGCTTCAATATCTTCATATTTCATCGATGAAGTCACACCACCGACATAAAGTGTTCTACTCAAAACTATGCCGGATACACAATACAGATTAATAACCAAGTCATAGAAGAAAAAAATGATTTCAATATTACGCAGAAAGGCATACCCCTAATAGAATCTTTGGGTATTGTAGGATCTTCATAGGCCAAATATGTATTTTCATCGATAGGTGGAGGTATTTGTGGATGCTCAATATGTGGACCAGGACCTGGCGGTGGTCTAAAGTGCATATCAAGATGACCTTGTGCAGGTGGAGGTCCGTGTGGCTGTGGTCCAAGATTCATATCCAAGTGTCCTCCATGAGGTGGCGGACCAAGATACATATCGGGATGTCCTTGTGACGGACCATGATGAATAGATAATGGTGCCATTTGTTGTGGTGGTGGCATACCATGAAGATCAGACGACGCGTGTCCTAATTGTGGCAGTTGGCCGGGGGGTGTGGAATGGGCATGTGGAGGTGGAATTTGATGTGCACCAGTAGAAGGTGGTACTTGAGATGGAGGCTGTAAAAAAGGTGACGCTCCATTCATTGGTGGCGGTGGTGCATTAGGATTCCATTGTGGCGGTGGAAAACCTAGAAAATTATCGTTTATCATTTGTTAATATTTATGAACAATAATATAAATTATCAATAACAATTCCAACCTGAAAATTGTGGAGGAGGTCCATGTTGCTGTTGATCAGATAAAGGTGGAACACCAAGATTTTGTTGTTGCTGTCCAACAGGTGGAGGTCCCCAAGGAGGTTGTTGTGTTCCTAATCATTGAAATAAATGTGAGTGAGAGGGTTGTGCAAATCATCACTTATTTTATTAATATTAATGAAATAACATTACCATTATTAATGTCTGCGCCACTAATTTGCTGCGGCTGCCCGATATTTGGTTGCTGCGGTTGAAAGAAATGATTGGTGGCAGTGAATTGTGGTGGTTGTTCAAGATGAAATTGATGACTGGATTGGATAATCAGTACGATAGTTGATTTATGCATAAAAATAAAAATAGGGAAAAGAAGAATGGGAATAGAGTGAGTTAGATCTATATATAAGATTTATTATAATGGCTTAACCAAAAATGATGATAATGACAAATAGATTATAATGGAGAAAAGGAATGTGGTAAAATTAATCATATAAGGAAAGTATATAAAAAATCATCCCCACAAGTGAATTAAAGAGAATTTATACACAATACACATGTGTTGTCATTCTATAAATAAATATATTTATTATTTTTTTCGCTTGTTTGTATGCTTTTTATGTTTTTCAGTAACACGAAATTCTTTTTTTTTTGTTTGCAGGTTTGAGGCTATTCAGGAATATAGAATCGAATTTGTTGTATTAATTTAATAAGAATATGAAAGTAAAATTGAGTAATAAATCGGATAAAGGTTTATATACAAGAATATAGTGGGAATGATAATCAAGGAGACAGAATAAAATAAAAACCAAAAAAAAGGGGGGAGGGGGAAGAGATGAGGAGCGTATCAAGAAAAAAGTGTCAAATGTTCTTGAAAGCCAATTGTGTCGATATCATCCAAGCCTAAGCATGAGCTAATTAATTCAATTATTTCTACTTACGCATTTACAGAAGTTAGATTGGCATTCGTTTCATTTAATCCATTGTTATTATTGTTAGCATCTGAGGAATCTAAATCCATTTTTTCAAATTGTGTAGCAGTAGCAGTAGCAGAAGCAGAATGATCTAGACCAGGTTTCGATGACGTGGTGCTGTTGTTTCCGTTACTGTTATTGTTTGGTGGTTGAGCGAATATTTGTGGTGGTACTTGTGCTGGAGCAGCTGGATGTGATGGTGGCGGCGCTAACTGCTGGATTTGAGGAGGTGGTATTTGCATCGGAGCCCCATTCATATTTTGATATGGAGGAGCAAAGGGAACACCTGAAACTGGCTGGTGATGACCATTAACAGCATTAACATTATTAAGGGTGGGAATAATTGGGTTATTTGGCTGTAATGATGATGAAGATGATGAAGATGAAGCAGCAGATGCTGTTGCAATTGGATTTGCCAGGAAATCTGGTATTTTCAGGTTCCCTTGAGTTATCGTATTTAAAGTCGCCAATAACGCGGAGGAATCTAACGTTGGAATAATTGCCGTCTGAGGATCTAATAATTGACACAAATATCAAATTTTGTGTATGTGTATTTTAGATGATTGTTTCCAGACGAGCGAGTCATTTACGAGTTATTGTAATTATTTATGCGTTTATATGTTGTATAGAGATAATTGAAAATTAAAAAAATTATTTATTAATTGTTTTTTGTTGTTAATTTCATGTAAAATCAAAATAATCCGAATGAATTTACGCAAAACTTGTGCCAATAATATAAATAATAAACAATATTTTGAATTATGAAAAAAATTTATACAATCTGATAAAGATAATAATGACAACGACGGCAATGGACAACAATAATCATATATACAAATATAAAAAAAACGCGATACTTTACTTGAGTTATTAGTATTTTTAGTATTCCGTGGATCTCGATCACTTCCTCCGTTGCTACTATTATTTTTATTACTATTATTTGCATTCACGTCAGCAGCAAGTGGTATCGATGGCGATGACGACGTCACGGGCGCGGATGCGGAACTAAAGTATTTTTCTTTAATGTTTGTCAATACCTCAGACTTGTAAATTCCGCCTTTTTTTAGCCAGATGTCAATAACACGGTGAACTTTTTCCTGTATGATTTTCAATTATATGCATAGAGAGATGGGTACATACATATATAAAAATATATGTTGTAATTATTTAATTAATAGCTTGTTTTCCCAGTATATGAATATAGTTTTCGGAAAATACACTTTGAAACTTTTTTCTTTATTATTATTATGTGTCCCGATTTCTTGAGCCAACCAAACTCTCATCCATTCCTTCACCACATGCGATATTTATATATTTTTAAAGCTTTTGTCGAAGAATTATAGTAAAAATATTATTTTTTTTTAAGTCAATTTAAAATACAATAATAATAACTATAGAACCATAAATTAATCCTCCAAATACCGAATCCGCCTTTATCGACCTGAAATGACTGTTGATTGCCATCAAAGGACGTAGAATCTGTATTATGCTTTGTCGCTTTTCAGATTTTTTTTGCTTTATCGTCAAAAGTTATCAATCGATGGAAAAAGTGCAATTCATCTGCTGATCTTGAGAATTTGACTATTTGCTGTGTACATAATTTTTTTCTCTTCAATTGATCAAAACCCAGTGAACAAATTCAGGACATTCTCCAAAAAGCTTATAAGATTTCCATTTGTATGCACAAATCTATAAACAAAATTACTAGCTATCACACGGTGGTATATTGGTGCCAAAAAATGCCTACCTTATCACTATTCGGACAAACCATAATATTCTGGAATATTTCATCCAATAATTTTTCAAATCTCTCCAAATATTCGGCTCCAGACCATGATGACGAATCTTTAACGGTAACTTTTTGTCGTGAAGCCGCCTGTGATATCGAGTCAAGAACATAAAGACCACCTAATTTGTAATCGGGAGCGCTTCTCTGGATGAATTTTTGCACACTTTGAACAATGTTTTTGTATTCCTTTAATTTTATGTTAAAAACATGTTTATTGGAGAAATTGGGAGATTTTAGTAAAATTTAAGGTTTTTTTTTTGGAGGATAATTTTTCGACATCGCAGTAAATAATGACTAGTATAGATTATTCAGTATCGCTTCTCTTTTTTGATTTTTTGTTGTTTCAAAAATTTGAGTGAGATGGATACATCTTTTTTTTATTATTCTTGTCATTGGCGTTGAAAAGGTAACTTTTTAATATTAAGGAATTTTCAAGATCAAAATATTTAATGTATGATTTTTGGTTTTAGTTGTGTGTTCCTATAACTGAGCAGCATCAAACATCTTATTGAAAAATAGTTCATTCCTTTTCTCACGTCCATCAAAATTGAATTATATGGCAAATAACTAGACCCTCGTTCAAACACTCAGAAAACACTACAATTACCGATACAATATCATGACTACTTAACTACTAACTAACCTTTGGACTAGTCATGGCTATTCTCGTCAACTCTTTTATTTTCGAGGCACTAGTGCCAGGTGGTTTTCGCTCTAATAGGCTATAAAGTATTTTTTCGAATTCGACAATTTCTTTGCTGGCTGCCATCTCTTAACTTTTTCACTTTTTTCTTTTTTTCTTTTTTATAATTTAAATGTTCTTACTACACGCAGAACAGATACTTAGTTGGCACAAAAAGGGGCACTCACATGATTTGCGGCGCATTTCAGCCTCAAGTATGATTGGATATGAGGTAGATGTTCAAAAAAAGCATGCGATAATACATGTGATGATATATGTAATTTTACATATGATATCCAAAGATTTTATTATAAAGTCACATGATTTACTTCTGAATTATTATATTCATGCTAACTAAATTAGATAATCTTTTCGAACCAGTATCGAATCAAAGAGATAAATTATAATAATCTTAATTTTAATTATAATTAAAATATAATTTAATATATATTAATCTTGAAATATAATTTTTTTTAAATTAGATTTTTAGATTTTCTTATAATTATAATCAAATATTTTTATATTATTATATTTTATAAAAAAATATAATTATAAAAAATATAATTATAAAAAAATTTGATTATATAATAACTATCAAAAGTAATGCAATACTTAAATTTTTTATTAATTATAATTAGTAAAATACATAATTTTTCTTACATATAAAAGTTTTTAATTTTACTAACAAATATTTTTTATTTT